TGTTATGGTTTGTTGCTTCTGTTTGGTCCGGTGAAGGAGAGGAAGATGAGTGGCGGAGCTGCCGAGATCTGAGCAAAATCAGGGACGATCTGTTATGCTTTGTTGCTTCTGTTTGGTCCGGTGAAGGAGAGGAAGACGAGTAGCGGGGATGTGAGCTTTATCAGGAGCTGTCAACGGAAGTGGAGCAATGGTGAGCTGCCGACGAAGGTGCAGGGAAATCGGGTTGCTTTGTTGCTTCTGTTCAGCGGTGGAGATGACTAGATGAGGCGGTGACTGGTGGTGAGATCTTGACGGAAGTGGTGCAGAGATCAGGTTGCTTTGTCGGAGGTGATGAGGCGGTGATTGGTGTGGTGAGATGCCGATGGAGTCATGGCACGGAGGTGGAGCAGGGATGAAGGAGAGGGATGGCCGGTGGATGATGTGTTTCTTCAACTTTCTAATTCTATTTTTTCCATTTGTTTTTACAAAATGTTACTGATTAGGGTTTTTAGATTTAATTTTAGTTTAAATTTAAGATTTTTTAATATAATATCATTAAAAAAAAGGTAAAATAAGTAAATTACATTAAAAAAAAAAAAGGGGTTAATAAAGGCATATTCTGCCCGGCGGGTGGGACGGGCTGGGCATTTGGAGCGGGTCCAACGAGTCTGGCGGGCTAACACGGGCCAATTTGCAAAACGGGCCAGTGCATGAAACCGGCCCGTTTTTAAATCCGGGTCCGGTCAACCGGTTAAACCGGCCGGGCCAGGCCGGGTTTTAAAACCATGATAACCAGTGCATTTTGTTTTGGCTTCTTCTTTCTTTTTCTTTTTCCTTTCTGGTAGAGGACACTGACCGAAGCTTGGGAGTCACTAACTTTATCTTAGCAGATGACAGACGCAATTCACCGCGAAACCAGATGACAGATGCATTCGGGGCGTAAATGGGACACTGCGTCAGCGGTGGCACGTCAGCGGCGTCTAGTAAGTGGTAAGCATAAGCAAGGTGCCGAGCTCATTGCAATGTCATATGCATTAAGGATTTTATCATGTTTTAATTTGATTAATTAAAGATATTAAAATTTTTTAGCTAATTCGTAACATAATCCACTGTAATTAATATTTGATTACATAAAAGTAATTATGGTATATAGAATAATTATTATTAAAAGATATGACAAAAAAAATTATTAATAGATAACGTAAAAAATTAAAATAAGTTTAATTATAAAAGGGTATTTTTGTCTATACAAATGAGTATTTGTATGTAATTCAATTTTATCCCATGATCAATTAAACGTGACTTTGGATTCTAACTTATGCCACCTTGTGTTGTCCTATCTAACCCTATCTTTCAAATTTTATCCAATACCATCTAAAACTGAATTCCCAACGTAATTTAAGAGTGGGTTGGAATATTTCGTAATAGAAATAAATATTTAAAATTGACTGAAATTATAATTGATTAGTTGGGTTTAATTGAGGTTGGAGTTTTTTTATTTAAAAATTAAATTGAACTAATTTTAAATAGTTTGGTTTTTAGTTGTTAAGGTCAAAAATTAAAAATTTGAGGCTTAGTTTAACAATGATGTCTGGTAATACCTTATAATTGTAACTGTTAGAAATATTGTATTGTACTGTTACAAAAAAACATCTTAGTATTTAATAATTATATTTAAAAAAATTACTTATTGTAAAATTACTCAATTAAACATATTATTATTTAAAATTAAATTAATTAATAATTTAATATATAATGTACAAAAGATTTTAATTAATTAAATTAAATTATTTAAGAATTTCATTAATTTTGGATAATATAACTTTTGTATTCTTTTCCAAAAAGTAGGGATGGATAATTTACCAATTGCTTAAGTTACAAAAAATTCCGCAAATATATGCAAAGAGTACTGTAAATAGCGTTATCAAACTAAGTCTAGAATATTATAGTGAGTATAATTGAGTTTTGGAACTAAGAAGACATATGATAAAGTCAATGAATTTGTAGAAATATTACTAATATGACTAACATTTATAGGAAAGCCATAAGCATAATAAATGTCAGAAAATAAATTATTTGGTGACTAACATCAAAATTAAATCTACTTGATTTTATTTTATATAAAAACACATGTAATATTTATTTCTTTTAGAAAAATATCTCAAAAATAGATTCATATATTTTTTTAATAAAAACACAAACTAAAAAAAAGAAAAAAATTAAAAATTATGGATTCATATGTGCCTTTTTATTGCAAAAGGTTTTTGATTTGTACTAGTACATTGCTTCAATAACAAAGAAGCACATATGAATATCCATAGTTTTTTATTTTTTCTCTTTTTTTTTTTAAGTTTGTGTTTTTATTAAAAAATATATAAATCTATTTTTGAGATATTTTTTAAAAGAAATAAATATTACATGTATTTTTATTTAAAATAATGTCAGGTAAATTTTGAGTTATTGAAAATGGAGACTCAATCAGCATATCACTTGATGTCGGTAAAGTCACAAGTTTTGATTTTAATTTTAAACTTTTTCTTCATTTTTATATTTTCATATTTTGAGGGGTTTTTTTATTTTTTAAATTTAGACTTATGTGAAGAAAAATTCAACTTGAACTTTTGAAAAAAAGTAGATTTGTAGCAGGAAGAGAGAGAATGTAAAGGAAGATAGAGATTATGGATGGAAGAAAAGGAAGAAGACAAGGACTCTTTAGTAAATTTATAGTTTAAATTGGCCACATCACCCACCCAATGCCATATTAGCACCAAGCCATTCCTTGGTAACGGAGGAACAAAGATGTAGACGGAAAGATGACATTTGATGATGTCATCCTCGGCAGAAGGGTTGATTTGCGGGTTTTTGTCAAGTAGAGGGGCTGACTTGCACTACTTTTAAGTAGAGGGGTTGATATGCCACAAAAATGGAAGTAGAGGGGCTGAATTGCACAAGGGAGGGCAAACACGCCAGTCCATGTGTCATTGGAAGAAAAAACCGAGAAATTTACTGTCACTACTATTTAGAACTTAGAAGTCAAATTGACAAGGAATGATGTCTACCATGAATGATTGGATTGGAGCAAAGATTTTTTTTAAATGATGAATCAAACAAACATGATGAAAACCCCTGACCTTTCGGCCTAATGGCAACTGTCACGATGAAAGGTGCATTTTTCTCTTCTTGGGCGGTTTCGATACACCTATGATCAAATGTTTAAAAATAAAAAATAAAAATAAAAACATGGTGAAAAAAGTTAGGGCTGAAGTTATCACCACTAGGTTTTTTTCTTAAGGTAGCCCGTCTATTTTTAAAACTACTAATTTTATTTGTCATTTTATTAATTTACATTTTAAAATAATTAATTCTAATATTTAAAAATATCTATTTATAAATTAATTTTAATATATTAAATAATAAATATTTACTATTTTATTAGTTATTAGTCATTTTTTTAATCATTAAATTAAAATTAAAATTTGACAACTTTAGTAACAATGGCCAAAACTTAGCTGGGGTTATAGGCACAAGCAAATATGTTACGCTATATAAATTGTCAATTTTATTTTAGTTTCGCTAATTAATATTTATTACATAACATATTAAAATTAGAATTAAGAAAAAATGTGTATTAGTTTTAATTTTTTTTTTAAATTAGAATTTTAATTTAAAAAATACTACCCTCTAATAAATATTTTTTTTAAAATAGCAACTAGATTTAATATTTTATTGATTTAAATGATATATATTAGTTTTTAAGTTGATCTAATATATATAATTATTCGATTAAGAAACTTCAAATTGAGTTATTGTCACATCTTAAATAATTAATATCACACTTTTTTAACATAATTATCTATTATATCCTTATATGAAATTTTTTCTCAAAATTTTTTATTTTTTATTTTTTAATAAATTGAAAGATATAATAATCAATTAAGATAAAAAAATGTGACATTAGTAATTAAAGGCATGGTAATACATCACTATCAAACTTGTATATTCTAATATATATCTAACAATAATAAATTTTTTATAATCAGTTAATTAATTATACATATCTAAATCAATTTAAAAATTAATATGTGTGATTTATATGAATAAAATATTAAATTTAATTGTTAATTTTAAAAAATATTTATTAAATAATAATATTTTAATATTAAAACATTAATTTTTAAAAAATAAAATCAATACAAACTATCCTAAAACTTAATTTTTAAATATTTTTGACTAACTATTTAAAGAAATTATAAACTAATAACATGTAACTCCAACTACAACGACACTTACGTATAGGGGTGAGCAAAAATCGGTTTTGATTAAAACCAAAATTGGTTTTAAAATAACCAAAAATTTTTTCTTTAATTTTGAGAATCAAAATCGAACCAAAGTTTTCACAAATCAATCAGTTTGGTTATCAATAAAATCAATTCGATTTTGGTTTTTATTAAATAAATATTAATCAATTTTTTTAAATAATAAATTATATTTTATTTCATATTTTATTATATTTATTTCAATTTTCAATTTTTAAGAGGCTTATTTTTTGTTTTTAGTTTATAAAAGGTTTAACCGAAATCAAATCAAAATTTATTTGATTAATATCAAAATCAAAACAGTAAAATTCAAAAACTATTGAAATCAAACCAAATTTATTTTTTTTGTTCGATTTCTAAATAACCAATGAATTACCCACCCGAATGCCCACCCCTACTTACGTTGGTGCAGGTTGTTATATTTATAATTAGGTGTTTTCTAATAATATATTTATTATTTACTTTATATAATATTTTATAATATATATTATTATATATACATACACTTCACTTTTTTATTTTAAGGGATGCATGTGATGCGGTACAGTTTAAAGGCTTGAAACATG